TACACGACTCTAAACATAAATAACCATTTTAAACTCCTCTTTAAATATGAGGGAAAGTTTGCTTCTCCCTCTTACGTATCTCTTTAAGGTTACATAACAGGGTACACTAATGGGACAATGGTTACATCACTTAACTGCTAATTAAAAGTTCTGACCTTCACATCCCTTAAGCCACTCCATGCAAGAATGACAGGATAGTTCACTTTTATAAAAATTTACGGCCTTGGAAACTCCAGGGAGGCAATTATATCTGGTCTTACATGATCAGTCATACATGATCAGTCTTACATGACTGGTCTTCTATGATCAGTCTTACATGATCACTATGAATCAGAATTGACTTGATAGCAGTGGATTTCTTTAGGAAAAAGAAAACCATTATCCCACAATCATCCAAATGCCATATTGACCTAAAGGAACATGTGGATACATTAAATATGGTCTTCTATATTCTAAAGTCCGATATTGAATCAACAGAATTTCTAAAATATAATTTAAATTAATAAAATTATTTAACTTTGATATAATTCTGTTCTAAAATTGCACAATCATTACATGATATTTTGATTATATTGTCATTAAGTTTGTGAAATCACAATAGAAGTCTATCATTTAAGTGTGTGTTCTCTACTGAGTAAACAAAAATATATGCATATTCAATGATTTATAATTTAGTATAAACTCTGAATTTGATTTTAGAACAACCAAATCCTATACAAACACATGTACTGAATGCATGTCAAATCATAATATGGAGACTTTGAAGTGAGTATGGATTTACCCTACAATTGTTTTGAGAATGTAAAACTTAATTATTGGTAATATTTTCTATTAAGTAAAACTGATTCTGCAGATAAAAATACCAGTCTGAACTATTTGTCTGACATTAGTGAGAACTCTCGAAGGAACACATAGATCTAAACAGCTGTGACTGATGCATCAGACCACACAGAGAGCTAAAATGAATGTTACTTACCCTCACAGCCCTGGCTTTCAGCACGTGTACTGTAAGGTTCCTAAAGTGCAAGCTGCACAACGATCTTGGAACGTCTCTGTGAATGACTACATGCATATGCTACACTATTATTGCCAGATAGAAAAAGAATAATATATGTTTTTAACCACTGCAGCCATAGTAGCTAGGCTTATAATAAAAAATACTTCTCTCCTTTCTGATTAGCTGTAATGCATATATTGTACACTCCAAATGCACATACTAAACTAAATCTGATGATCATTTTTCCCTAAGTCATTAAATCTTCACTCATTGACCGTGCTTATCAATCATAGAATAATTCATCTTTCTTTCCTTCTCTTAAAAAAAAAAGAACATTTTAAATAAAAAAACAATTATTCAAACTCATATTTCTTAATGAAGGCTAATGTGCTAATGTTTAATCGTGTGGATATAGTGAACATTGCTGTGTTTGAGAACCGCAGAGAGATTATCTACCTCTATTTCTAAAACTATCTGTGATCTTTTTAAAAAGATTTTTCTCTATCTAAACATTTGATAAATTCTCATAAAAAGAAGTTCTATTTATATAGGCAATTGAAGGATAATGAGTTTCAATTGTCACTTAAACTAAAGTTGTCAGTCCCAATATGGTTCCTTAACTGCCAAATATAAGAAATTATATCTCAGAAGACGGATATGTTAGGCTGTGGTAAAAAAAAAAAAAATTCCTCTGAATTTCCCAACATTCCTCTCTCAATTTCCAACTGAGGTATGCAAGTGTATTCATTAATGTGTCCACTGCACTTCTAAAGGGAAGATTTCATGAATTAACAAAAATAATTAAATAATAAAAAGTAGCAGAGAATAGATTTGTATCTATAACAATCAAGCATTCTATATTCACTCTTTGAGAACATAGGATTTCAATCTCAAATCTGTGGAGGTTACTGATGATTTATTCATCAGTAAATCATTTGACATTATATAAATAACAACATAAATATGAAAAAATGTTCATTTTTCTTTGGACAGAACATATAATATATACAATATTATATAATATATAATTTTTACCAAAAGTTTAAACTTTTAAAGATACTCTGATCTATGTATATTCCAGTCTATTAAAATATAAAATATTCAGTATTTGTAATATAATGGTAGTGAGAAATTTCTATTGTTTAAAAGTTATTATTAAGAAGAACACAAATAAAAACATATGCCTTCTTTTGTTTCCTTTTCTTTCTCTACTCCCATCTTAGACCGGTGGAGGTGGCATTATTTGGGGGTGCTTGCTAACATGCAAAGAGAGTAAAATAAGGTAGACTGGGGTAGTTACAAGTATTAAGTCCAGAATTACTAATAGATGGAGATAGTATTGTACAACCTCAATAAACTAATCAAACTGCCTTTATGAAGGAATCTTTTTTTCCCCTAACAACCTCATCTATTGAGGAAATATGGAAAAGAGAGTTGCAAGTGGTATAAAGATGAACAACTTGCTTATTTTCCAAGTTGAACATCCAGAAAACTCAGAAGACCAAACATAAGGATTATCCCGAGCTTGTATCCTCTGTGGGGGCACCACTGGAATAGTGGACGGTCTGGCCCCATCACGCTGGGGCGAGGAATTGAGGGCATGCAGCAGAGCAGCAGGTGAAGCAGTGATGAAACCCCAAGGGGATACCAAAAATACACTTGGGAGACACAGAGTGTGGCACCCTACCAGACTTGACTCGAAAATACTCATAATGGCCAACAAACAGACCTTGAACTATTTATAGGCTTTTCCATTTTTGCCAGTGGCTTTCTTTTTGTTACTGTTATTTTGTTCTTGCTTTCTGCTGGTGTTATTGTTTTGTCGGTTTTCACTTCTTTTGCTGTTTTATTTGATTTTGCCTGGTTTTTGTACTTATTAATGTATCTGCATGTCTATCTAGATAAGAGGCAGGATAAATAATTCAGAGATGAAAAGAATGAGACCAATGGTTCTGGGGGATTTGGGAGAAGAGGAGGAACCTGAATGAAGGATGAACATGATGATGGGACAAGAGGGAAGTAAAAAGGAAATAGATGAAAGAACCAGGAGGCAAAGACAATTTATAGAAGCCTAAATACAGGCATGTTCATATGTAAATATATATAATGAGAAGGGAATAGAACTGTGTAATGGTATCAATATGTTAAGAATTACGGTTGCAGATGGACATTGGGCTTCAACTCAAGTACTCCTTTAATACAAGAACACTTTGTTCTAACAATCCGGCATTCTGTGATGCTCACCTTCCCAACACAGTTGCTGAAAATAAAATGGGTGCATAAGGAAATGTGGTGAACAAAGCTAATGGTGCCCAGCTATCAAAATACATAGCATCTGGAGTCCTAAAGGCTTGAAGATAAACAAGTGGCCATCTAGCTGAGAAGCAACAAAGCCCACCTGGAAGAAGAACACCAGCCTATGTGATCAGGGGTGTCAATGGGATCAGGTGTCAGGCATCTAAGACCCAGAATAAAACCATAACCAAGGTGAATTGTGGGGGGGTGGGGGGGGAGGCATGGAGTGGAGACCCAATGCCTATCCGTAGACAATTGGACATCCCCTCACAGAGGGGTCACAGGGAAGAGATGAGCCAGTCAGGATGCATTATAACACCAATGAAACACACAACTTTCCTCTAGCTCTTTGGTGCTTCCTTCACCCCACTATCATGACCTCAATTCTACCTTACAAATTGGATTAGACCAGAGCATGCACACTGCTACAGATAAGAGCCTGCAACACAGGAAATCCACGATAGATAAACCCCTGAGAGCCAACAAGGAAAGGAGAGATACCAGAAGGATTAGGGGAGAGTGGGGGGAGGAAGGGGGGAATCGATCACAAGGATCAACCTTGAACCCCCTCCCAGGGGGACAAAGAATGGAAAAGTGGGTGAGGAGCGACAGAGGGTGATGTAAGATATGGAAAAAATAATCTATAAACTTATCAAGGGTTCATGAGGGAGGGTGGGTCGGGGAGGGAGAGGTAGAAATGGGGAGCCGATATCAGGGGCTCAAGCGGGAAGAGAATGCTTTGAAAATGATCATGGTGGCGTATGTGCAAAATGTACCTGACACACTGAATGAATGTATGGATTGTGATTAAGAGATGTAAGAGTCCCCAATAAAAGTATTTAAAAAAAGTCAACTATGACCTGAAATATTTTCAAAAGTCATTAAAAGACATTATTTTTAGCTACATGGTTTCCTGTGTATCAGTTTTTGTAGCTTACAAATGTACTTAAAAGAGGTATCTATAAAGGATTTCTGATTAATCTTTAAACATATATTTGAAGTTATTTAAAGTGACTAGAAGGAAAATTTAGGAAAAATGTGATTTTACTATAATATAGTTCAAATGAAATGGTCTTCATTGAGAGAAACTCTTAGATAGACATAAATATAATATTTCTTATTATTTATTCACTAGCGTAGTGCATCAAATTAGATCTTTTACTTTTAGGAAAATTTAATCTGTGTGTTAAGAATACAAGTGAAGCCAAGAAGGCCTGTTTCCCGAGGAAAATGCTCAATTGCATTCGCTGACGCCCAGGTTCAATGTGACCACCAAACACTAAGTATACCTGTAGTGCTTGTCACCTCCATTTCATGTGACTTCAGACAGAGACGCTAAAGTTATTATTCTTTTAGCAATTAAGAGCATATGCTGTATTATATATTTTAGATTTTCTAATTAGGAAAGATCACAAATCATCTGTTATTGGTGAGTACTATTTTATTTAAAACTTTAAAAATATTTTAATGAAGAAGCTAAGCTAAGCAAGAAACAAAGAAAATGAAACGATTTTGCAAACCGTATTTTAGTTGGGCATAAGCAGCAAAAGTATTAGGAACATTTTAATAAGGCCTCGTAGGTTTTTACTTTCAAGAATTATGGCAATAATTTTAAATGCCTTTGATCTGAGTAAGACCTTCTTGGCTCATAAGTTCAAAACACCTTTGAAACACCCCACCGGAAGCCGGGAGATCCAGAAGCACTTACATTTGCACTGCGACTGCTTCCACTGGTACAGATGACGTCTTGTTTTTGAAGAGTTAGCACCTCCTTTGTTAGCTTCAGTCGGACGTCATAGGCGTTTTCAGACCCTTCGTCATACAGCAATGCAATACCAGTTTTCGTCTGCAGACACAAGGTGCAAACACAACACATCGCCTTTAATGCAAGAGAACCATTGATGATGACAAACTGTAAGCTGCTTTCTTTTGGATAACTTAGTAGAAGACAAATCAATGTATCTAATATAAACACATGACCTACCTATCTCATAAAGACCTAGATTAATTTAACACATTTGCAAACCCTGGGCTTTCGATGAGTTGGTCCATGTCACTATCCACAGGATTTATACAAAACACGTTTCTATTTTGCTTTTAAGGGCCCGTTTTAAGAGGCAAACTCCAAAAATTTACTTGTAGTTTAAAGTAATGTTTCTGCTTTCATTTTTATTGTAGACAAATATACCTGATTGAAATTGGTAATTCAGAAAACATTTAAATATTTTTTGTATAATGGTTTCTTGGTTTGGAGTAGGAATGTGAAAACTTAAAATAGCCAAAACAGCAAGCCTATGGTTAAAACAATGAAAAATCAACTCACTTAGAAACCCATATATGCAGTTTACTGAATTTAAACGTTCGCAGTGGATACCTCTGCTGAATACGTCGGGGTGAACCGGCTTCTCCTGAACCCCTTTGGGCTAGTCAAATGCCACACCTCACTCTGGGAACCAAAAGCAAAGCCACTGCTACGGAGTCCAGTTCCATTCACTTTGCTTCAGGGTGTTTCTGACATCAGAAACTTTCACAGGAGCACATCGGCTCATCGGTCGCTCAGGTAGTGGCTGCTGGTTTTGTGGCTAGCAGGTCAGTGCCCCATAACAGGAACTGAAAACAGAAGCAAACACCTCAAACGAATAAACTGTATAACCTGAGGAACTGCACCCCCTTGTATAACAAAAGGTTGGCTGACGTTATTTATTTTATTAATTTTGAGTGCCCTCCAGTGGTGTCCGAAGCCATCTGAGCACAGGAGAACTGCACCAGAGTGTTCAGGGCTGCCACCGTTGAGAGGCAGACTGCCAGGTCTGTGCATTCCAAAGGCTTTCTAGGTACGTATGTTTAACCACCGACTTTGGGGCTAGTAGTCTAGTGCCTACATTTTTGCTCGTAGTTTTGTGTTAATATACGGATGTGGTTGTGAATTCACCCTAGATGATTAGTAGTTTCACAGACACAAATCATGGAGTGAATGGAAACCACAAGCCCACATCCAGGGAATGTGCAGCCATTTGAATTGACTTGTATGACCTACACCTGCTTAATGTGTGTGTGACCTTGTGTCTTGTTCTTTATCTAGTGATCACAGGGGGTTAAGCCACCCCCAGTGATTAAGCAAAGCAGAGAAAACACAACAGAGAGATACACAAATGCTTTCCTTTGCAGTATATGTATTTGTTGAGTTACTTACTTATCATTGTAAATACCTAATTAGAAAAAAGAATTCTACGGCGATGACTATGGCACAGTTTGTCAGTTTGTCACACGATGGTCGCTTGTGGTGCTCTGATACTGGAAGCTATGTCCCTGGTATTTCAAATCCCAAAGTGGAGCGGTCAGAGCAAGCACTGAGACGAAAACGACTACACTAAGGTGTCTGCTGTCCACGTCAGAGGAAGCAGCCACTGAGCCCTACAGATGACAATGAAACGTGATCAATTACTGAAAACGTAATGAATCACAGGAGAACCTCGTTGGACATACCGCCAGAGGTGGAACCCTCGGTCTGAAGATGCTCAAAATACCACCACGCTGTTTCTCAAAGTAGAGTAGAACACAACCATGTGCTTGAAGTAAAGCCTGTGAGGGTAAAGCTTTCTGGAGTTCCATTTGCTGATGAGACATGAGTGAAAATGAGAAGAAAAATGACAGCCTCAAACATAAATTAATAATTGGACATTTGAATGTATACATTATGAATATTAAAATATGTAAGTTAAAAAAGAACAGGTTGAAGTTGAAGAAAATTAAAATAAGCTGTGTCAAAATACAAATTTGAGTATATCCTATCCAAGCCACAGAAATCTCAAAACCTATTTAATTAATATTTTTAAAAGGACAGAAACCTGAGGAGCTGTAGGCTAACATAAAGAACATCATCTATGAAAAGAGCAAAAGTTCAAAGACAGGAAAGAAAGAAAATATCAGAATAGATGTCAGAAGAAATGCTGAAACTTGCTCTTAATTATAGAGCAGCTTTGGCAGATGGGAGAAATGATGAAGAGCTGAATGGTAAAATTCAAAGGACACCTTAAGCAAACAACGTAAAATATGTACAGTCCTAGAGGGAGAGAAGCAAAAGAGAAGAACATGCCTGGCATATCTTCAAGTGAAAGAACCAAATGAAATATTCAAGCTCCTAGGTGCAATACTGGAAAATTCTATGGGTGAAAAATTGAACTTTGCAGGAAGGATCAAATAAAGAATACACAGAGTCACTGTACCAAAAAGAACTAGTCAACTCTCCAAAATTCCAAGAGGTGACTTGTGAACAGGTGAGAAGTTCCAGGTGCACTGAAAGAAGTATCCAAAAAGAAGGCTCCAAGAATTGATGGAATACCCATTGAAACATTTCAACAAGCTGATGAATTACGGGAAGCATTCATTCATTCATCTCTGCCAGAAAGCTTGAAAGACAGGTACTTGGCGAGCTGACTGGAAGAGATTCATATTTGTACCCATTCCAAAGAAAGGTGACTAACAGACTCCACAAAAGATAGAACAATACCATTTATATCGCATGCAAGGAAAGCTTTACAGATCATCCAACAATGGTTTTAGCAGTACTTTAACAGGAAGCTGCCAGAGGTTCAGGCTGGATTCAGAAGAGGATGCGGAACAAGGGATATCATTGTTGAGAAAAGATGGGTCTTGACTGAAAGTGGAGAATACCAGAAAGATGTTTACTTGCATTTCTTCGATGATGTAAAGATATTTGAATGTGTGAATCATAACAAACTATAGATGACCTTGAGGAGAATGGAAATTGCAGAATACCTTAATTGTACTCCTGCAGAATGTGTACAAAGATCAATCGGCAGTTGTGTGAACAGAACAAGAGAGTATTGTATGATGTAAAATGAGGGAAAGCGTGCGTCACACTTGTATCATCTCCTCTTACTTGGGCTATATGCTTAACAAATCATCAGAGAACTGGATTATATGAAGAAGAATGTGCTATCAGAATTGGAGGAAGTTTTTAACTACCTGTGATATAGAGATAACACAATCATGTTTTGCTGAAAGTGAGGAAACCGAAGCAATCGCTAATGCAGATGGATTGCAACCTTCACTATAGATTACAACTCAATGCAAAGTAAACCAAAACCCACACAACTGGGCCAATAGGTAATATCATGATAAACAGAGAAAAGATTGAAGGTATAATGAATTTTATCTTGCTTGGATCTACAATCAGTACTCACGGAAACAACAGTCAATAAATTATATGACACATTGCATTTGGTAAATCTTTTGCGCAAGACCCATTTAGAATGTTGAAATGCAAGGATGTTACTTTGAAATCAAGGTGCAATTGTCCCAACCCATGGTATTTTTAATCATCTAACATGCATGTGGAATTTGGATATCAATAATGAAGCCTGAAGAAACACTGATTCATGCAATATAAGGTTGATGAAGAGCACAGCAAACCCAACGGACTGACAAAAGAACAAACAGACCTCTCTGGAAAGAAGCACGTGCAGAATGCTCCTTCGCCATAAGGATGATTACACGTCACCTCACATACTTTGGGCATCCTCTCAGGGAAGAACAGTCCCTGGAGAAAGACATCATGCTTGGCAAAATGGAGATCCAGACAAGGATCGAAAGGCACTCCACCAGGTGGATTGTCACCGTGGCCACACTAATGGGCTCAGACCTAAACACAATTGTGAGGGTGACACAGCACCGGATAGTGCTTCCTTTTGCTGCACACAGCGTTCCTGAGTCGGAGCCACTTGACCTCACCTGACAGAAACACTGAGGAAGATGATATAGATTGATATGCGTGCAATAAGTGCCCAGCTGCTTGCTCCTCTGTGTTCTCACCGCACCTTGTTGAAATATTTATCTGAAAACTGGCTGCATTTATGTTAACTTTCCTGCTTCTGTTGAAGTTGTTTGTAGCACCGAGTCGATTCCATTCATTGATAAAAAGGAGACTTCTTTGCTTTTTCTTTGTTCAGGAGTTGGCAGCCCAATGCCCCCCACGTAATAGGTACTCACTCTACGTGGGTAGAATTGAAAGAAGGAGGAACCTAAATCAACTGTGATGCACTTATTCTACTGCCAGTGTGATCCCAGACAGTAGTTGGCTTTGGTCTATAGAATATAAAACCTGGGAACAATCTCTAAATGACATCTCTAAAGGCACCCTTGGTCACAGAGCTGGAATTAGAAGGCGCACTATCCTATTCCAAGGGTCTGTTTCTGGTATAAGACACTCAACATGAGCTACAAATTACAGCGAGCTCTTCATTTTATTTTATTTCTGTAATCCTATCATTTTTGAAAGTCGCATTCAGGTTTCACTTCCCACTGCGGGAGCTGCAGGAACTCTGACATTCCTTCGGTCCCACCGTTTTCCTGGCAACCTCTTCCCAGGGCCGGCTATTGTTTGGGGCACCTTCGCTTCCACTTTTTCTTCTGCTCTTGGTCACAACAGTGGTCACCTCCTTTTAACTCATCGTCAACTTGCTAAAAACAGACAGTCTCTGAATCTCTACCCCAAATTGGAGCAATCACGGATTTCTAACACAGGTTTCTGCACATTGGGGTGCCTTGTGCTTCCCACAAGGCCAACACTAACAAGCCCAAAGAGAAAACCTCCACTGTGGCCTTTTAAGCGCACTTTCCAGCCATCCAGGGTGTCCTCTGTGCTTTCTCCCTGCTCCCAGCACCCTGGGTTGGTCTCAGGAACACACACACACTGCACCACACCATATATATCAACATGCTGTGGCAAGTACAAGATGAATGAGTGTAGATAATATAGGCTTAATTCTACAATTAGCAGAAGCTAGCTAAACAAACAGGGCCCCATACTCAAATTAAAAACTAATGTCTTATAAAACATAATCAGTTTCTAAA